CAGGAGAATAGCATTCTGCTGTTTCGGTCGCACCCCGTTCTCATGGGCCTGTAGCTGTGGCTTGGGCCCGTAGCCGAAGCTTGGGGCCCGAAAGCTTTAGCTCGGGCCTGTCGCTGTAGCAGGAGAATCGTATTCTGCTGTTTCGGTCGCACCCCATTCTCATGGGCCTGTAGCTGTGGCTTGGGCCTGTAGCCGAAGCTTGGGACCCGAAAGCTTTAGCTCGGGCCTGTAGCTGTAGCAGGAGAATCGTATTCTGCTGTTTCGGTCGCGCCCCATTCTGATGGGCCTGTAGCTGTGGCTTGGGCCTGTAGCCGAAGCTTGGGGCCCGAAAGCTTTAGCTCGGGCCTGTAGCTGTAGCAGGAGAATCGTATTCTGCTGTTTCGGTCGCGCCCCATTCTCATGGGCCTGTAGCCGAAGCTTGGGACCCGAAAGCTTTAGCTCGGGCCTGTAGCTGTAGCAGGATAATAGTATTCTGCTGTTTCGGTCGCACCCCATTCTCATGGGCCTGTAGCTGCGGCTTGGGCCTGTAGCCGAAGCTTGGGGCCCGAAAGCTTTAGCTCGGGCCTGTAGCTGTAGCAGGAGAGTAGTATTCTGCTGTTTCGGTCGCACTCAAATCGCCCTGCTCACTGCAACTCCTCTGGACATCGTCGTTGGAAACCTGACCGACAAATCCCGATAGTCGGTACTCTTCGCTAGAGTGGCTGTCTTGGGCCGTCTTGGGGCCTCGTGGGCAGTCTTCGGGCCCTCTGGGAAGCTTCTTGGGCCGTCTTGGGGCAGTATTGGGTGCCTCTTGAGCCGTCCTGTAGCTCCGGAAAGCCGAAAAGACGAGAAGGCCAAAATCCTTCAACACCCATCCCAAAATTCGTGGTTTTGGCCTCTCGGGGCTCTCCCAGGAAGCCTTTTGGAGGCCTCTTGGAGCGTCTTGGAAGCCTCTTGGGCCGTCTGGGGCTCACCTTGAGCGTCCTGGAGCGATCGTTCGGCGTCTCAGGAGCCTGCGAAAGTGCCGACAATTGCGCAGTTCGCAGCTCCCCCCGCAGGGAGCCGCGAGGTCCCGACGCGATCTGCGTGTAACCCCACTCCGCTGGGCCCAGGAGCCCACGAAAGGACCGACAGTTGCGCTTTCGGCAGCTCCCCCCGCAGGGAGCCGCGAGGTCCCGACGCGATCCGCGTGTAACCCCACTCCGCGGGGCCTCCCAGGAGCCCACGAAAGTGCCGACAGTTGCGCAGTTGGCAGCTCCCCCCGCAGGGAGCCGCGAGGTCCCGACGCGATCCGCGTGTAACCCCCACTCCGCTGGGCCTCCCAGGAGCCCACGAAAGTGCCGACAGTTGCGCAGTTGGCAGCTCCCCCCGCAGGGAGCCGCGAGGTCCCGACGCGATCTGAGTGTCACCCCACTCCGCTGGGCCTCCCAGGAGCCCACGAAAGTGCCGACAGTTGCGCAGTTGGCAGCTCCCCCCGCAGGGAACCGCGAGGTCCCGACGCGATCCGCGTGTACCCCAACTCCGCTGAGCCTCCCAGGAGCCCACGAAAGTGCCGACAGTTGCGCAGTTGGCAGCTCCCCCCGCAGGGAGCCGCGAGGTCCCGACGCGATCCGCGTGTAACCCCACTCCGCTGGGCCTCCCAGGAGCCCACGAAAGTGCCGACAGTTGCGCAGTTGGCAACTCCCCCCGCAGAGAGCCGCGAGGTCCCGACGCGATCCGCGTGTAACCCCACTCCGCTGGGCCTCCCAGGAGTCCACGAAAGTGCCGACAATTGCGCAGTTCGCAGCTCCCCCCGCAGGGAGCCGCGAGGTCCCGACGCGATCCGCGTGTAACCCCACTCCGCTGGGCATCCCAGAAGCCCACGAAAGTGCCGACAGTTGCGCAAGTTGGCAGCTCCCCCCGCAGGGAGCCGCGAGGTCCCGACGCGATCCGCGTGTAACCCCCACTCCGCTGGGCCTCCCAGGAGCCCACGAAAGTGCCGACAGTTGCGCAAATTGGCAGCTCCCCCCGCAGGGAGCCGCGAGGTCCCGACGCGATCCGCGTGTACCCCCACTCCGCTGGGCCTCCCAGGAGCCCACGAAAGTGCCGACAGTTGCGCAGTTGGCAGCTCCCCCCGCAGGGAGCCGCGAGGTCCCGACGCGATCTGCGTGTGACCCCCACTCCGCTGGGCCTCCAGGAGCCCACGAAAGTGCCGACAGTTGCGCAGTTGGCAGCTCCCCCCGCAGGGAGCCGCGAGGTCCCGACGCGATCTGCGTGTCCCCCCACTCCGCTGGGCCTCCCAGGAGCCCACGAAAGTGCCGACAGTTGCGCAGTTCGCAGCTCCCCCCGCAGGGAGCCGCGAGGTCCCGACGCGATCTGCGTGTCACCCCCACTCCGCTGGGCCTCCCAGGAGCCCACGAAAGTGCCGACAGTTGCGCAGTTGGCAGCTCCCCCTGCAGGGAGCCGCGAGGTCCCGACGCGATCTGCGTGTCACCCCCACTCCGCTGGGCCTCCCAGGAGCCCACGAAAGTGCCGACAGTTGCGCAGTTGCAGCTCCCCCCGCAGGGAGCCGCGAGGTCTCGACGCGATCCGCGTGTACCCCCACTCCGCTGGGCCTCCCAGGAGACCACGAAAGTGCCGACAGTTGCGCAAGTTGGCAGCTCCCCCCGCAGGGAGCCGCGAGGTCCCGACGCGATCCGCGTGTACCCCAACTCCGCTGAGCCTCCCAGGAGCCCACGAAAGTGCCGACAGTTGCGCAGTTGGCAGCTCCCCCCGCAGGGAGCCGCGAGGTCCCGACGCGATCTGCGTGTACCCCAACTCCGCTGGGCCTCCCAGGAGACCACGAAAGTGCCGACAGTTGCGCAATTGGCAGCTCCCCCCGCAGGGAGCCGCGAGGTCCCGACGCGATCTGCGTGTACCCCAACTCCGCTGAAAGTGCCGACAGTTGCGCAGTTGGCAGCTCCCCCTGCAGGGAGCCGCGAGGCCCCGACGCGATCTGCGTGTACCCCCACTCCGCTGGGCCTCCCAGGAGCCCACGAAAGTGCCGACAGTTGCGCAAGATCGCAGGAGGCGACAGATGCGCAGATTGCAGCCCCCCAGAGGGCGCCGCGAGGAGGAGGTAGGAGGCAGGAGGGAGGTGGGCGGGAGGACGGGGCGACCAGAGTGCTCTATTCAAAACGAGTACCCAACCAAGGGAGGGTTGGGAAAAAAACGACGTCGCATGAATGGGCAAGCGCTCCCCGCTGCCCCAGCTGGCCGCTGTGGCCTGCTCTTCGCAGAACTCTTCCACGTCTGAGCGCCTCCCCCCTCCTCCCCTCGCGAGGCCACCCTAGTCTTCTTTCATTCATCTGCACGCCGGACAATTCGCCTATCGGTTGCCCCGATTAGCCTCACGCTGGTACGGACTGCCTCTGCCTCGCCGCCGACGAAAACAGTATGGGTAGGCGCTGGAACCCCCCCGGCCCCTAGCGCGCCACGTGCGGAACGACCACGGGCCACAAGTAGGCGAGCCGAGACGCGACTGGTAGACAGACTCGGGCGAGACAAAGATGACCCCTGGCGCGCCAAGCGCGCCAGGGACGGGGCGGGAGGCGCAGACCCAGAGGAGGGCGCCGGGCCCGAGCAATCCGCGGGAAGCTGAGAGAGTGTATGCTGGGTCGCATGACTTCGCGCCTCGCGCCCCGCGATGCGCGACACGCAGCTATCTTCGCGCCCTCGCGCCGCCCCCCTGGAGAAGGGCAGCCGCCCTGGCCCAGACCACGACGCACGAGGTGCGATCACCTTCGCGCCCCCCCGGGTGAGCTAGTGCGTGTGTGCGCGCACTCGTGCCGCACAATGCTGAGTGCAATTTGAAGCGATCCTTCGCGCCCCGTTCCGTCACTCGCCAGGGTGACGTCGGCCGGCCGGCGGAGGAGAAGAGGTGTGCTCGTGCCGTGATTCTGTCTCCAAGCGCCTGGGCGGCGGCCGCCATCTCCTTCCTCGCCTCCTCGCTCGTGGCGTTCGCCGCGGCGGACTCGCGGCGCGCCCGGGCCTCGTCGGCCGCAGCCTCGTCGCGCAGCCGGTGGGCGCTCGCCTCGGAGGTCGCGCGGGCCCTCTCCGCGGCCTCCCGCGCGGCGCGCGCCGCCGCGGCGTCCTTGTGGGCCTGCGCGGTCACGCTCTCGGCGCGATCGATCTCCTCCTGGGCCTGGGCGCGGGCGGCCTCCGCCGAAGACTCCAGCGCCTTCGCCCCGGCCATCTCGCGGCGCGCGGCGGCGCTCCGGGACTCGGCGGCCTTGGACTCCTCCGTGGCGTTGGCCTCCGCGGCGTGCGCTTCCTCCTCTGCGGCCGACGCTCTGGCATCCTCGGCCTTGGCGTGGGCTGCCTGCTTCGCGGCTTCGGCCTTGGCCGCCGCAGCCCCAGCAATCTCATCCAGCGCCTTGGCGCGAGCGGCCTTCGCCGCGGCCGTAGCGCTCGCGTCCATGCGCTGTGCCGCGGCGGCCTTCTTGGTCGCGGCCTTTGCGTCCTGCATCTCCTTCTCCGCCTCCGACTCCTCGGCGCCGGCGCTGGCAATCTCGCGCTGGGCGCTGGCGTTCAGCTCTCGGGCCTTCCTCAGCGCCGCAGACGCCTCCGCAGCCTTCTCGTCCGCGGCGGCCTCGGCGGCCTTGGCATCCTCCTCTGCCTTCTTCTGGGCGGCCCAAGCAGCGGCCACCGCCTTCGCGTCCTTGCTGTCCAGAGCCTTGGCCCGGCTAGTCGCGGCCTTCGCATCCTGCATCTCCTTCTCCGCCTCCGACTTCTCGGCGTCGGCGCTGGCAATCTCGTGCTGGGCACTGGCGTTCAGCTCCTGGGCCTTCCTCAACGCCGCAGACGCCTCCGCAGCCTTCTCGTCCGCGGCGGCCTCGGCGGCCTTGGCATCCTCCTCTGCCTTCTTCTGGGCGGCCCAAGCAGCGGCCACCGCCTTCGCGTCCTTGCTGTCCAGAGCCTTGGCCTGGCTAGTCGCGGCCTTCGCATCCTGCATCTCCTTCTCCGCCTCCGACTTCTCGGCGTCGGCGCTGGCAATCTCGTGCTGGGCACTGGCGTTCAGCTCCGGGCCTTCCTCAGCGCCGCAGACGCCTCCGCAGCGCTCTCGTCCGCGGCGGCCTCGGCGGCCTTGGCTCCTCCTCTGCCTTCTTCTGGGCGGCCCAAGCAGCGGCCACCGCCTTCGCGTCCTTGCTGTCCAGAGCCTTGGCCTGGCTAGTCGCGGCCTTCGCATCCTGCATCTCCTTCTCCGCCTCCGACTTCTCGGCGTCGGCGCTGGCAATCTCGTGCTGGGCACTGGCGTTCAGCTCCTGGGCCTTCCTCAGCGCCGCAGACGCCTCCGCAGCCTTCTCGTCCGCGGCGGCCTCGGCGGCCTTGGCATCCTCCTCGAGCGCGTTTCTTTATGCTCGGCGATGACTGGTGTCATGGGGGGGGAAGGGCGAGGGGGGGGATGACGTAACGCCCCCCCCGCCGTGTAGCTCCGGCACCGCAGCCGCGCCCGCGCGCGGCGCGACGAGCGACGAGCGACGAGCGACGAGCGACGACGACGACGACGACGACGACGACGACGACGACGAGGACGACGACGCGAGCAGCATATAGGTGGCGATATGCCCCACTGCGCCTGTGTACACCACAACGCTCGCGTGCACCACAGCGCGCGTGTATACTACAACGCTTGCGTACACTGCAACAACCGTGTGCAACGCAGCGCCTGTGTACACCGCAGTGCTTGCGTACACTACAGCGCCGGAGTACATGTGCACACCGCAGCTACCATGTGCAACACAGCGAATGTGAACACCACAATGCTTGCGTGCACCGCAGCGCCTGTGCACGCCAAAGCGCGCGTCTACACCACAGCATCCGCGTGCAACGCAGCGCTGGTGTACACCACAATTCAATGCCTCCATGCATAGGACAGGTAGAAGGAACATGTACGTGAGGATCTGCTGCGGACAACTAGACGCCACGCCAGGAAAGTGCTGATAATCGAATGCGACGTTTCCCTCCCCTCTCCTCCTCCACCTCCACCACCTCCTTTTCCTCCTCCTCCTCCTCCTCCTCCTCCTCCTCCTCGTCCTCCTCCTCATCCTCCTCCTCCTCCTCCTCCTCCTCCTCCTCCTCCTCCTCCTCCTCCTCCTCCCCTCCCTCCTCCCTACCCCCTGTCGTGCGGGTTGGCGCTACAGCGCACGTGCGCATCTCACCACGCACCGCGGAATGGTCGATTGAATCGGTCCATTTGGTTCTCGGACGGCCAATTTGGCTGGAGCCTCCTGGACGCAGATGGGAGGACTTAGGGTGATGCGGGCGGACTCGGGAGGACTCGTAGATTCCAGCGGCGGTCCGTTGTCCATAAGGATTGTTTCCTTTTGTTCCCCATATCCTAAGATGGGGTTCTTGTTATTACTTGGACGCCTCCTACTCCTCCTCCTTCTTCCTCCTCTTTTCTCCTCCCCTCCTGTCGGACATACTCAGACTTGCTCATACACAGACTTACTCATACTCAGACTTACTCATACTCAGACCTACTCATACTCAGACTTACTCACACTCAGACATACTCATATACAGACTTACTCATACACAGACTTACTCATACACAGTATTAGTCATACCCAGACGTACACATACACAGACTTACTCATACACAGACTTACTCATACTCAGCACCCCTAAGGGGAGCCGCCAGGGGTGGTTGCACGGGCTCGTTCGCGGCCATTTTGTGGGGATGTCTCAGGCGGTTTGCCTGTTTCTGTGCCCAACATCCTTCGCTTTCGGAGCAGATTTGGAGGATGTCTCGAGCGAGGCGCTCATTTCAGCACCCCTAAGGGGAGCCGCCAGGGGTGGTTGCACGGGCTCGTTCGCGGCCATTTTGTGGGGATGTCTCAGGCGGTTTGCCTGTTTCTGTGCCCAACATCCTTCGCTTTCGGAGCAGATTTGGAGGATGTCTCGAGCGAGGCGCTCATTTCAGCACCCCTAAGGGGAGCCGCCAGGGGTGGTTGCACGGGCTCGTTCGCGGCCATTTTGTGGGGATGTCTCAGGCGGTTTGCCTGTTTCTGTGCCCAACATCCTTCGCTTTCGGAGCAGATTTGGAGGATGTCTCGAGCGAGGCGCTCATTTCAGCACCCCTAAGGGGAGCCGCCAGGGGTGGTTGCACGGGCTCGTTCGCGGCCATTTTGTGGGGATGTCTCAGGCGGTTTGCCTGTTTCTGTGCCCAACATCCTTCGCTTTCGGAGCAGATTTGGAGGATGTCTCGAGCGAGGCGCTCATTTCAGCACCCCTAAGGGGAGCCGCCAGGGGTGGTTGCACGGGCTCGTTCGCGGCCATTTTGTGGGGATGTCTCAGGCGGTTTGCCTGTTTCTGTGCCCAACATCCTTCGCTTCCGGAGCAGATTTGGAGGATGTCTCGAGCGAGGCGCTCATTTCAGCACCCCTAAGGGGAGCCGCCAGGGGTGGTTGCACGGGCTCGTTCGCGGCCATTTTGTGGGGATGGCTCAGGCGGTTTGCTTGTTTCTGTGCCCAACATCCTTCGCTTTCGGAGCAGATTTGGAGGATGTCTCGAGCGGGGCGCTCATTTTCACCACCCAGGTGGGCCAGATTTTGAGGATGTCTCGATAGGTTTGCTAGTTTTGGTGGCCAGGCTCGTGGGCGCAGATTCTTCTCAGGATGCCACAGGAGGCTCCAACAGGCTCCAGGAGGCTCCAGGAGACCACATGAGGTCCCAGGAGGCATCAGGAGGCCACAGAAAGACTCAAGAGGCTACAGGATGTCCCAAGAGGCTCCAGGAGGCCCCAGGAAGCTCCAGAAGGCCTCAGGAAACCACAGGAGGCCCCAGGAGGCAACAGGAAGCGCCAGGAGGCCTCGGAAGGCAACAGGAGGCCCCGAGAGGCCCCAGGAGCAGGAGGCCTCAGAAGGCAACAGGAGTGGCTCCAATCCCATGTGTTTTACGTATGCTCCTATCGATTGGGCCTCACCTGGAGCACGATTCTTTGATGTTCTACGTATGTTTCTATAGATGGTCCTTCTCCTGTGTACACAATCCTAAATGTTTTACTCATGTTCCTATGTATTGGGCCTCTCCTGGGGCACGAGTCCTTGGTGTTTTACGCGTGTTCCTATAGATTGCCCTTCTCCTGTGGCTCTAATCCGCAATGTTTTATGTACGTCTGTTGCTATAGATTGCGCCTCCCCTGGGGCACGAAACCTTCCTAGGAGGTCCCAGGAGGTCCCAAGAGGCTCCTGGAGACCCCAGGAAGCCCCAGTAGGTTTCAGGAGGCCCCAGGAGGCCCCAGGCTCATGCACAGAGACGCGCTCGTACTACTGAGGCTCATTCACACTCCAATTCATTCGCAGTTAGATTGATGTCCAGACCGTCACAACTGAAGCCCGTTAATATTCGAAAGCTCTTGCGCCTAGACACTCACGGCGGACAGGTCCATGCGAGTAGATGCACATATGGGGAGCTCCACGCAGTGAATAATTTTCTGTGGAATCCACAAACGCTCCATTTTGCCATACAGATTTGTTATAACATTCTACGTACAACAGTGTTGTGTTGCACACGGTTGCTGTGGTGCACACAAGCGCCGTGGTGCACACAGGAACTGCAATGCACGCAGGCATTGTGGTGTACACGGGTGCTGTGTTGCACACGGCTGGTGCGGTGTGCACAAGAGCTGTTGTGTCCGCAGGCACACTGGCACAAACTGACGTTGTGTTGCACGCGGCTGCTGTGGTGTACATAGGCGGTGTGGTGTACACAGGCGCTGTGGTGCACGCAGGCACTGTGGTGTACACAGGCGTTGTGGTGCAAATCGCCACCTACATGCTGGCGCCACCCGTCCTCCGTCATTCCTAGGCACTCCCAAACGCCGCTGGCGCGAAACGTGACGACACCGACCCCCCCACACACACACCCCAGATGATTGCCGTCATCGGCCCAGAATTACAACAGACTTCAGCCGCGTCCGCGCGCACGACGACTATGAGCGACGAGCGACAAGCCACGAGCGACGACGACGACGACGACGACGACGACGCCGACGACGACGACGACAACGACGACGACTGCGGACCAGACTCGCATACGGATTCCTACGCGGACACCTACGCGGATCCCAAAACGCACGGCGGCAGTGCCTGGAGCGCACTGGGGGGGGAAGCGTTAAATCATAGGGCGGGGGGGAACGGGGGCCATGACGCCCGCCATGCCCCAAGCAATAAAGAAACGGGCTCCTCTGCCTTCTTCTGGGCGGCCCAAGCAGCGGCCACCGCCTTCGCGTCCTTAGTGTCCAGAGCCTTGGCCTGGCTAGTCGCGGCCTTCGCATCCTGCATCTCCTTCTCCGCCTCCGACTTCTCGGCGCTGGCGCTGGCCATCTCGTGCCGGGCGCTAGCGTTCAGCTCCTGGGCCTTCCTCAGCGCCGCAGACGCCTTCGCAGCCTTCTCGTCCGCGGCGGCCTCGGCGGCCTTGGCATCCTCCTCTGCCTTCTTCTGGGCGGCCCAAGCAGCGGCCACCGCCTTCGCGTCCTTGCTGTCCAGAGCCTTGGCCTGGCTAGTCGCGGCCTTCGCATCCTGCATCTCCTTCTCCGCCTCCGATCTCTCGTCGGCGCTGGCCATCTCGTGCTGGGCACTGGCGTTCAGCTCCTGGCCTTCCTCAGCGCCGCAACCGCCCTCCGCCTCCGCAGCCTTCTTGTCCCGCGGCGGCCATCGGCGGCCTTGGCATCCTCCTCTGCCTTCTCTGGCGGCCCAAGCAGCGGCCACCGCCTTCGCGTCCTTGCTGTCCAGAGCCTTGGCCTGGCTAGTCGCGGCCTTCGCATCCTGCATCTCCTTCTCCGCCTCCGACTTCTCGGCGCTGGCGCTGGCCATCTCGTGCTGGGCGCTGGCGTTCAGCTCCTGGGCCTTCCTCAGCGCCGCAGACGCCTCCGCAGCCTTCTCGTCCGCGGCGGCCTCGGCGGCCTTGGCATCCTCCTCTGCCTTCTTCTGGGCGGCCCAAGCAGCGGCCACCGCCTTCGCGTCCTTGCTGTCCAGAGCCTTGGCCTTGCTAGTCGCGGCCTTTGCATCCTGCATCTCCTTCTCCGCCTCCGACTTCTCGGCGTCGGCGCTGGCAATCTCGTGCTGGGCGCTGGCGTTCAGCTCCTGGGCCTTCCTCAGCGCCGCAGACGCCTCCGCAGCCTTCTCGTCCGCGGCTGGCACTTCCTAGCGCCGCAACCGCACTCAGTTGCCTTCGTCGGTACGCGGCGGCATCACACAAACTTGGCTGACTTCTTATCGGGCGCGGCACCAAAGCAAGCGGCGGGCCCTTCTTCGGTTCTTGTCCATGCTGTCCAAGCCGTGGCTGCTAGTCGCGGCTTGCATCTGCATCTCCCTTCTCCGCCTCCGACTTCTCGGCGCTGGCGCTGGCCACTCGTGCTGGGCGTCTGGCGTACCGCTCCTGGCCTCTCCTCAGCGCGCAACCGCCTCCGCAGCCTCTCGACCGCGCGGCCTCGGCAGGCCTTGGCATCCCTCCTCTGCCTTCTTCTGGCGGCCCAAGCGACGGCCACCCGCCTTCCGCGACCTTAAGCTGTCCAAGCTTGGCCGGCTAGCGCCGGCCTTCGCATCCTGCATCTCCCTTCTCCGCTCCGACTTCTCTGGCGGCTGGCCGGGCCAACTCGTGCTGGGCGAGTGCGTTCAGAGCATCCTGGGGGCCTTCTCTAGCGCCGCAGACGCCCTCCGCAGCCTTCTCGTCGCGCGGCCTCGGCGGCCTTGGCATCCTCCTCTGCCTTCTTCTGGGCGGCCCAAGCAGCGGCCACCGCCTTCGCGTCCTTGCTGTCCAGAGCCTTGGCCTGGCTAGTCGCGGCCTTTGCATCCTGCATCTCCTTCTCCGCCTCCGACTTCTCGGCGCTGGCGCTGGCAATCTCGTGTTGGGCACTGGCGCTCAGCTCCCGGGCCTTCTCTAGCGCCGCAGACGCCTTCGCAGCCTTCTCGTCCGCGGCGGCCTCGGCGGCCTTGGCATCCTCCTCTGCCTTCTTCTGGGCGGCCCAAGCAGCGGCCACCGCCTTCGCGTCCTTGCTGTCCAGAGCCTTGGCCTGGCTAGTCGCGGCCTTCGCATCCTGCAGCTCCTTCTCCGCCTCCGACTTCTCGGCGCTGGCGCTGGCCATCTCGTGTTGGGCACTGGCGCTCAGCTCCCGGGCCTTCCTCAGCGCCGCAACCGCCTCCGCAGCCTTCTCGTCCGCGGCGGCCTCGGCGGCCTTGGCATCCTCCTCTGCCTTCTTCTGGGCGGCCCAAGCAGCGGCCACCGCCTTCGCGTCCTTGCTGTCCAGAGCCTTGGCCTGGCTAGTCGCGGCCTTCGCATCCTGCAGCTCCTTCTCCGCCTCCGACTTCTCGGCGGCCGCCGCCGCCATCTGACGCTGGGCGCTGGCGCTCAGCTCCTATAGGGGGACGAGAAATATGCGCATGCACCGCCCCGTGGCCGAGCCGATCCTGGGCACAGGATCGGCAAGCCCTCCCGGCTGGGCCAGGGAGGCACGTGTCCACCGATCCTGCCCCAGGGTGTGCGTGGCCAGGATCTGCGCACGTGCATGGCGAAACCAAGAGGTAACGATACCGCTACTCCCCAGACTTCTCCCGAAGTGCGTTCTGACCGGGATTTCGGGGCGAATCCAGCGGTGGCGACGAGGGCCCTCCCAGGAGGCCGAAAAAGGAAAAACGGGGGAAGAGTGGCGGTATTGTCACCTGTCCTCCTCCTCCTCCTCCTCCTCCTCCTCCTCCTCCTCCTCCTCGTCCTCCTCCTCCCTCCGCCTCCTAACCTCCTCCTCCTCATCCTCCTCCTCCGATCCTCCTCCCCCCCTCCTCCTTCTCTCCCCCCTCCTCCACCTCCTCCCACCTCCTCCTCCTCCTCCGCCCTCACTCCTCCTCCTCCTCCTCCTCCTCCTCCTCCTCCTCCTCCACAATTAGACAATATGAATACTACTCTCCTCTCTCCCATGGTGGCGTCCAGGAAATGTTCGGCCCCCCTCCGCGCACTGGATTTTAAACACATAGGATTCCGGGGAAACGAATTGTCTGTCGCTTGAGTTAGTTTCAAAATGCTGCTCTCGCTGAAGCGCTGGCCTCATTTTCGGGCTACCGCTCGTTCCGAATCGTGCTCCTCGCTGCAGCGCTGGCCTCATTGCCGCGTGCTCTCGATGTAGCGTTTGCGTTATTATTTTCAGCGCCATGCCACGGCATGGCTTTCGGTCCTTCGAAACAAGCCCAAAAGCCTAGAAAATGGCCTCCCCAAGAAACCATCGGATTCGGTGTCGATTCGTTGTTCTTTGGGCCGCAGAAGCCCCCCAACTTTGAGGCGTCGCCACGCCATGCTATGACAGGCTACGCGTCCTCATTTCCTCGCGTCCGCGCTTGGGTTCTTGTTCAAAATGCTGCTCTCGCTGCAGCGCTGGCCTCATTTTCGTGCTACCGCTCATTCCGAATCGTGCTCCCGCTGCAGCGCTGGCCTCATTTCCACGCTTCCGCTCGTTCCGAATCCTGGTCCCGCTGTAGCGCTCGCGTCATTATTTCCAGCTCCATGCCACGGCATGGTTTTCGGTCCTTCCAAATAGGCCCAAAAAGCAAAACGAAAAAAAGAAAGTATGATACCGGAGTTCCCCACATAAGACTGAGGCGGGGCCTCCGCTGGACGGGTGGACGGGGCACGAAACCTAGGAGGCAGCACGGTATCTGAACACCCTCGTCGCTCAGGGGAGGCATCCTTGGAGACACGGGAGGGCACGAAACCTGCAACATTTAACGAAAACTGCGCGTGGCAGCATGCTCTTGCGCAGCGCAGAGAAGCTTTTGGGGCGCGCAAGAGCAGGAAAGCCGATACAGTGGGACGGAAGGAGAAGAGGAAGGAGAAGAGGAAAGGCAGGCAATAGCAAGGATGACGATGGTACTTGCTGGTGCGTGGGGCTGTAGACGGCCTTCGGCGCGTGCCCAAACATGAACCTCCTCCTCCTCCTCCTCCTCCCTCCTCCTCCCTCCTCCTCCTCCTCCTCCTCCTCCTCCTCCTCCTCCTCCTCCTCCTCCTCCTCCTCCCCTCCCCTCCTCCTCCTCCTCCTCCTCCTCCTCCTCCTCCTCCTCCTCCTCCTCTTCCTCCTCCTCCTACCTCCTCCTCCTCACTCCTCCTCCCCTCCTCCTCCTCCTCCTCCTCCTCCCTCCTCCTCCTCCTCCTCTCCTCATCCTCCTCCTCCCTCCTCCTCCTACCTCCTCCTCCCTCCTACCTCCACCTCCACCTCCCTCCTCCTCACCTCCTCCTCCGCTCCGCTTCCCCGCCTCTCGCCTCCGCCTCCGCCTCCGCCTCCGCCTCGCCGCATCCTCCTCCTCCTCCTCTCCTCCACCTCCCCTCCTCCTCTCTCCTCCTCCTCCTCCCTCCTCCTCATCCGAAGATCTCCTACCTCCGCACCCTCCGCCGCCTCCGCCTCCGCCTCCGCCTCCGCACACCGCCTCGCCGCCCGTCCGCCTCCGCCTCTTCCTCCACCTCCTCCTCTCTCTCCTCCTCCTCCTCCTCCTCCTCCTCCTCCTCCTCCTCCTCCTCCTCACTCCTCCCATCTCCTCCAGTCGCCTCCGCCTCCTCCTCCTCCTCCTCCTCCCTCCTCCTGGTCTCTCCTCCCTACACCGCCCCTCCCATCCCCCTCCCCCTCCCCCTCAACCCTCCACCCTCCCCCCTCCTCCTCCTCCTCCTCCTCCTCCTCCTCCTCCTCCTCCTCCCTCCTCCTCCTCCTCCTCCCTCCTCCTCCTCCGCCTCCATCCTCCTCCCATCTCCTCCTCCTCTCCTCCTCCTCCTATACCTCCCCCTCCTCCACCTCCTCCGCCTCCTCCCTCCTCCTCCCCGTCCTCCTCCTCCTCCTCCTCCTCCACCTCCTCCCCTCCTCTCCCCTCCGCCTCCTCCTCCTCCTCCCCACTCCTCCTTCCTCCTCCTCCTCCTCCTTCCTCCTCCTCCTCCTCCTCCTCCTCCTCCTCCGCCTCCTCCGCCTCCTCCTCCTCATCCTACCACCTCCTCCCTCTCCTCCTCCTCTCCTCCTCCTCCTCCTCCGCCTCCGCCTCCGCCTCCGCCTCCGCCTCCGCCTCCGCCTCCGCCTCCGCCTCCGCCTCCGCCTCCGCCGCCTCCTCCTCCTCTCATGGCCATCGCACGAACCCTGATAAATCACATGGTTTGCGAATACTGTCCTCGCTCAGGCGGGGCCGCCCTGGAGTGGTGGGAGCGGCGGTGGGAGGGGCACGAAACCTGATAAATCACATGGTATGCGAATACTGTCCTCGCTCAGGCGGGGCCTCCCTGGAGGGGTGGGAGGGGCACGAAACCATGTAAATAGTATGGTATTTCGATACCCTCCTCGCTCAGGCGGGCCTCCCTGGAGGTATGTGGAGGAAACCGAAACTGATAAATCACATGTTACCGAATACTGTCCTCAGCTCAAAGGCGAGCTCCCTGGAGGGTGGGAGGAGGGCACGAAACCTGAACTAAATCACATGGTAAATCAGCGATATGCAAAAAACTAGTCGACGCTCAGCGGGCCCTCACCTCGGTGGAGGGTGGCAGGCCACGAGGCATAAGAACCACATGTAATGCGAATAGTGGTGCTCGCTCAGGCGGGCCCCCCTGGAGGGTGGAGACACGAAACCCCGATAAATCTTCATGGCATGCGAATCAGTGTGCTCGCTCAGCGCGGCTTCACCTGGAGGGGTGGCGAAGGGGCCGAAACCTGATAAATCACACATGTATCCAATACTGTCCTCGCTCAGGCAGGCCTCCTCTAGGAGTGTGGGAGCGCGGGCACGAAACCTGACAAATCACATAGTATCCGAATACAGTCCTCGCTCAGGCGGGGCCTCCCTGGAGTGGTGGGAGGGGCACGAAACCTGATAAATCACATGGTATGCGAATACTGTCCTCGCTCAGGCGGGGCCGCCCTGGAGTGGTGGGAGGGACACGAAACCTGATAAATCACATGGCATGCGAATACTGCCTCGCTCAGGCGGGGCCTCCCTGGAGGGGTGGGAGGGACACGAAACCTGACAAATCACATGGTATGCGAATACTGTCCTCGCTCAGGCGGGGCCGCCCTGGAGTGGTGGGAGGGGCCCGAAACCTGATAAATCACATGGTATGCGAATTCTGTCCTCGCGCAGGCGGGGACCCCCTGCATGATATCTCATGGTATGGTATGGTGTGGTATGTATGGTTTTGCGATGGCATGTGGAACTGGAAGCGGGAGAAGGAGAAGGAGAAGGAGAGGACATTCTTGGAAAACAAGAACCCCACTCAGGATGTGGGGAAAAAATGCCTCCCGAAGAAACCATCGGAAGTGATTACACATTCGGTGTCGATTCGTTAGTTCTTTGTGCAGCAGAAGCCCCCCCCCCCACTTTGGGGCGTCGCCACGCCATGCTGTGTCATGCTACGCGTTAATCTTCAACACCATGCTATGCCATGTAATGCTGTGCCATGCTACGACATCCGATTGTGCGAATAGAGAAGAGATCTACGCCATGGTAAAGGATGGGAGGGAGGGGTAGGACGTCAGATATGACGTGAGCGCACCTAGCTTGTCCTCCTCCTCCTCCTCCTCCTCCACCTTCCCCCCCCCTCCTCCTCCTCCTCCTCCTCCCCCTCCTCCTCCTCCTCCTCCTCCTCCTCCTCCTCCTCCCCCTCCTCCTCCTCCTCCTCCTCCTCCTCCTGAGTGCACAGCTCCCGTCGTCCCGATCCTGCGCCTTCCTCATCGCAGCGGACGCGTCCACGGCCGCCTGCCGCGCAGCAGCCCCCGACGCGCTCTCCGCTGCCGTGCTGGCGCCCGCCTCGCGGGGCCTGGCCTCTGCGCGCGCGAGCGCGGGCAGCCACAGGGCGGCCACGGCAACCAGCCAGGCGGAGCCCCCGGCCATGCCTAGGGCGCCGACGACGACGACGCCGACGCCGACGCCGACGCCGACGCCGACGACGACGACGACGACGACGACGGCGACGACGGCGACGACGACGACGACGGCGACGACGACGACGACGGCGGCGGCGGCGGCGACGACGGCGGCGACGGCAACGACGACGGCGGCGACGACGATGATGATGACGGCGACGGCAGCGAAGACGGCGGCAGCGACGGCGGCGGCGGCAGCGACGACGGCGGCTGCGGCGGCGACGGCTGCGGCGTCAGTACCGGCGACGGCGGGGGCGACGGCGACGACGGGGATGGCGGGGGCGGCGACGGCGGCGCCGGCCAGCCAGCCAGGACACCCACCCGTGCCTGTCCGCACACCCATCGCTCCGAAGTTTTGGCTGGGAGTGCGCAGGAGGCACCTGTGCACCACCACCGTGCCTGCCCCTGCCATCCTGGGCCCCGGCACGGTGCGTGCGCCCTCCCGGGCCGAGGCGTGCAGGTTCTGTACACCATCCCGGGGGCCCAGGGTGGCCGTGGCCAGGCGCGCTGGCGGCGTTTGGGTGCCCTCTGCAAAGGGAGGTTGCTGGCGCGAGGTTCGCTTGCTCGACCTAATTCGGCTTCAGCCTAAACGGCTACGCACGGAGGAGAAGGAATGATAGGAGGAGGTGGCGGAGGCTCGGAAGGGAGGAAGAGAAGGGAGGAAGAGGAGAAAGGAGAGGGGAGAAGGAGGAGAGAGGTGGGGGAGGTGGGAAGAGGAGGGAGCAGCAAGAGGGGGTCTGATGTGGACACGGAGGGGGGGAGGCGAGACGACAAGCACAAGGAGGGAGGAGAAGGGAGAGCGAAGAGAAGGGGGAAGGAGGCGGCGGGGATGGCCCATGGAAGCGAAAGAGCGCACGGCGCTGGGGGGCTGTCGAAGCATCGCCCATGGGGCCTGGCAGCGGCGGGCTTTTGGGCATGCACGGAGGAGAGGGGAAGGAGGAAACGCGAGGAGTACGACGATGACAAAGAGAAGGATTTCCCGGAGCCGACCCTGTCGGAATCGGACAAGGAGGTTGGCGAGGAGGGAGAGAAAGAAGGAGGAGGAGGAGGAGGAGGAGAAGGAGGACAAGGAGAAGGAATGAAGGAGGAAGAAAGAAAAGGAAGAGGGCGGGAGGAGGAGGGGGGCGGGAGGAGGAAGAGGAGGAGGAGGAGGAGATGGGGCAGGAGGAAGCAGGGCAGGAGAAGGCCACCAGGCAATATCTGCACGCTTGGATCGCAAGAGGACCCCAAGAACCCCAGGGCTCTCGGACTCTGAGACCGTCGGAATACTTGGAGCTGGCCGACGTTTTCGGTCGATCTAGATCAGACTGGATATGCCGTGGCCGGCACTCGTGGGAACGCGCAGGATTTCGGCCACATCCGGGGCCTTGGAGGGGGCCGACAGCCATATGTTCCCCGCTTGCGCCACTCCGAGCGACGCCGACGTCGAGAACCCACTCCCGCGCACCCTGGGCTTCAGGGTCTGGGCTTCCAGTGGAAGGCTCCGGAGAACGAAATCCTAACTGTGGCGTGGGCTCCCCTCGCTGAGCCCAACACTTGCGCACCAGAGGCCAGGGGGCCAGAAGGTTATTCTGATTATTTCGGGTAGCGGTCGCCACCCTACCCGGGTAGGAGGATTGG